CTGTGAGGATTGTGTACTCTTTTAATACTGGATTTATTTTACACATATTTGTGAAAATTTTATTGTTTTCTTTACTTATATAAATACTTACCTTGCGATATCAATGTTTGAAAAATATACCAAAAAATTTCTTTTATGTACCTCATTTTCTGGCCATTTTCAACTATCTTCTTTCTTTTTTGTATTACTAGATAAAGTGACACAATAGTCACTATTGCTGTAACTAATATCAATAACCAGACCTGTAATTATATAAATATATTTGATTACTAACGAATGAGTGATTTGTGTATATAATTACTTGTTTTCTCTAATTTTATTTGTTGACAAGCCACCGTAATCGCCGTGTTAGATTCTATATAATTGAATTTGGCCCACCATTCTAGTGAACCAGTAGACATTAGTAGCTGACATAGGTTATAACCTCACTTATTGAGTTTTTCTGGTATTTTTCACGTGTCTAACACCTAAATAAAGGCAATTTTCCTTATAGAATGTGGAATCTCAAAGAGTTCTCTGGGTGATCGCTCATATTATAACACATTCTAATCAAACAATCAATGAGATAGTGTAAGATAGAGAAGGGTTATAAATTATTGAGTGCATTTCAGTAAGGAATATAAAATAACACACAAACATCCTCATACGGAATTTATTACCACGCTGAAGCTGAAGCCATTTCTTATCACATTACCATTATTTATATACTAACCATACCCTACTTTATTATCGTTTCTTTAATTTAAAAATACTTACTGTACCTCTTTTCTAAATGGTCTAATTAAAGTCTTTAATGTTAAAAAATGACTTATATATTGTTAAACGTGTCTTAAATATATATAAAATATATCAGAATTACCGGAAATGCAGATATTTTTATAGTAGTTTCGTTTGCATTTAAAGCATTACCTAGAAACAAATATATATTTATCTGTTATTATAACATTGATATTAAAAGATAAAATTAATGGTTAATCTTATATCGACGACGTTTCAATTAGCCCCGAAAATTTAATTCTTTGTTTTCAGGGCATTAAAGATCACCAGAGTGATGAAGACTAGAAACTCATTCGAGTAAAGAAGGATCAGAGGATAATGGATGAAAATGCCAATCAAAAGGCTAAGAAAAATTATAAAGAAGCCAAAACGGAGCCCAGGAAAGCAAATTACAGGAAAAACAATGAATGATAACCAGATTTTGAAGAGAGTTTGGAAACAGATGAGGGAAGAAAATCTTCAGAATAGTAAAGCAAAGAGATAAACATAGTAAAAGCTATTAAGACAAGATGGCAGTTGAAAATAATGTCACAGCATTTGTAGAAGTTGATGAATGTGGAGAATTCCAGAAAATCGGGAAATGAACTAGCTGTATCAGGTCTCATTAAAAACATTAATAGAGCTATAGTGGTAAAAATACTGGGAAAGGTTGAGTTAAGTAAAGCTAGTTGGTACAAGATCAAATACTGTTTCTAGTCATTTCATAGATCCCGTAATGGGCATGATTATGGTAATGGTTTCAATGGGTATGATTATAAACACTCTCATAAAAACTATAATTAAAAGCATAATGCCCTTTATACACAAGCTACCATGCCAAATTTGGTATCGTACTCTCTCTATTCATCTTCAGATACACTGTTAAGCAAAATAGATAACACCCACACATGTACATACATACATACATATCCATGGATATTATTATATTTTTATCTTTTTTGTATAATTAAAATCACGTTATAAAGAATACATAAATAGTTGTACAGTACATACCATTTTTCATATATCCCAAAATAGTAAATAACAGATACAAACGTGAAATCTTCATTATTCCTTCTGTTAAAATTTTCTATTTATTCAAGAGATCTTAAATTCTTCGAATGAATAAAACTTGTGAATATTGCTTGTATAATACACAATAAATATGCTGGTACCTTCAAGACGTGTTATTAATGTTAAATGTTATTTCAATATGAAAAATTCTAATTTGAACAAAATGTATCGCGTGATGTGTGGAATTGAGAAGCTAAAAACACGCGAATTCATATTTTTATCAGAGATTAATATTGATTACTTTTAAAGTGTAATACATAATTACAGTAGAGCGTCGTTTATCCGAATCAATTGGGGACTGGGGTTGTTCGGATAACATATTTTTCGGATAACCGATCATGTACGAAAAAATATATTAATCTATCCCGTGTTGAAATTTTTCTCCGTTGCGTGTCGCTTTCGTCGATGTTAAGCCTAACGTAAACTTTTTAAAATAATAATCGTGGCTATTGTATCGTTAAAAATGATTTCTTTATGTTTTACAAACGAAATAAATACATTGAAAAATATAAAAACAAATAAAAATTATACTTTAGGCCGACTGAAATTCTTTCGGATAACCGACTTTCGGATAAACGACGCTCTACTGTATAATAATAAATTTAAAAATGTAATGAAGTTAGATGATTAAAATCAATACAATAACTGCAATAGAAGTTTAAATCGATAATAAAACATTACGATGTCTTAACCCCTTTAAAGCTTAATAACTCCCATTCCTTTTTCCCTTAGTGTTTGAAATCGTTTTTTATATATTTTAATCAAACAATCAGTACAAAAAATGTTTAGCATTATGAAATAATAATTACATAAAACTCAATTAAATTATATTACAAAAACATTTAATTTTTAATTATATATTTATATAATTAACGAATGAATGAACTTTATAATTATGTATTTAGTCTTTACTAATTAATTAAACGACGAAGTATTGTTTAAAGCATAAGATAATTTAACTGTGAAATTCAAATTTATAAAACTTGTCTGTCAAGTTTTTTATAATTGTTCTTAATTAATACTCTGTACTTTTTATTAATTATAATTGTTTATATATTAAAAATAATATATAAACACACAATTTTAGACAAATGGTTTAATTAATTTATAAGATATTTTTATTTCCTGGTTTAAACAGCAATTTGCTATTTATACAGCAAAATTGCTGTGTAAATAGCAAATTACTGTTTAAACTACTGATATTTAAACTGTACATTCTTTGTTTTTTTTATCATAAAAGGAAACTGTGTTTTCACTTCCTGTCTTCTACTAAATTATAATTTCATTGAAAGAAATAGCAATTTAAGTTTCATGAGAAGTACCTAATTCCTCTCCTGTATGCTTTTCCACTTACCATGCCCGAGTGGATAAAACCACTTTAGACAGGTTGGTCGAGGGTTCACACTTCACTAATGGTCTGGCCACGTGAGTTCGGTCATTCTTTACGCGTCTAACATGTAAACAGGGACAATTTTCCATAGAAAGTCTACCCGAGAAACACCCCCTTAACAGAGTGTCCTCGTGTTGTTTTATCCACCAAGCCAAACTAAACAGCAGTCGTGGGTTCGCACCAACATGATATTTTCACGGTTTTTAACAATTATAAGTTCTGTAGGAACTCACTTGTTCTAACTTCTTCAATTCAATTTAATCTTTCACCTTCCTAGTGAGATTAACTTTCATATGAAGAAGTAAACGTACTACCCCCCTATAACACTGTTGATTATTTCGTTTTATATGAATTCCATGTTGTACGAGTCACTTAGATTTTACAAATACGTGTGCCGGGCTGTGAACGGCTCACGTATTTGTAAAACATAAGTGACTCGTACAACATAGAATTCATATAAAACGGAAAAATCAAAAGTGTTATAGGGGGGGCGACTGGTACTCATAAACATCGATCAATTTAAATNCAACCGATGGCACTGTACCATATGTACGATATTCTGTACAGGTCCTGTATACCACCCTCACTAAAAAACCGAATAAAAACTGTTACTTAATTGTAATTTATTAAATAATTTAATAATTATAACTAATAATTTAATATTTTACTATTGAATTGGCATTGGTGTTGTAGTATACTCTGTACTCGTTGATACTGTTGTCATCAAAGTCGTCGTTATATTGGATATAATACTAGTTCTGTTGCTGCAACCTGTTAATGATATCGGAAGCTTGGGAATGTAGGGCTTATGTATAAAATATCCAAATCCTATCCAGAATGGCAAAATTAATCCAGTTATAAAGCCACTAATAGCACCCTAATTAAAATAAATCAGGACGTAAACTATATTTTACTTTCATGTGTGTGACATACAGTGGATGTAAAGTAACTAGGCCTCGAAAAATCAATATAATTTCTAAACTTATAAAGCAAAAAGTAAGTAACATTAGCTATCTTTTACTATATTAAACGGAAATAAGTATCCATATTTAAAATTTAATGTACACATTGGATTCATCCATCATTGACGCATTTTCTTCAGATAGTGAAGTGAATGGACTGCCACTTCTTTGTGTATCCTCAACCGAGTCTGTGACTGTTTTAGCTTTGAATACAATTCTTGATTGTTTCCGTGCGGATTGTGGAATGACTAGCCTTTTCTGCACGCTACAGTTTCTGCACATCAACCACTGTTTCCTACATAGAATGCAGCTCAACCTGTATTCGCTGTCGGTCATCTTTATTTTCACTGTGTGTGTGCTGCCTATACGATCACTGCTTGATCACTTGACACCACCAGTGCAAAAGTTTTCATTATAAAATTGATTTAATGCACGTTCAGACATAAATTTTATTATGATTACATTATTATTTTAAACGTTATAATGATTTCTTAATGCCTAGTAACTTTGCATCCACTCTCTACGTACGATATTATTATACTTACGGTAACATTAGGCCATGGAAAAAACATGCCAAGAGTAAAAAGGCCTAAAACTGTCCACCAACCATTCCAAATATGCTTAAAGCAGCCTGTAATTAGGACAAAAAACTCGTTACTGTATTTCTTTTTATATAAATATAATTATATTTCTTGCTTACAGGTAAAACATCTCCCAATTGTTCCGCAACAAGTACGAGAAGAATGGCTAAAATTCCGTATACCACAGCTAAAATTTAAAGAAAAATTTTTTTTTACATATATAAAAATAATATATATCCGTCTATTGGAAGATCCTGTGTATGAGATTACTTATATAACAACTCTTAATGAACACGTTCAACAAGGTGATAAATTATGTATTAATTCTTTACTATGGTTCCAAATCTCGTTTATTAAGTTCACCGTTTGACTTATAAGTTAAATCAGAACTGCTTGGCGTGTAAGAAAGGTTGGCAATTCCATTTGAAAATTCCATTTTTTCTTCGTCCATCCCCTTTTCAGTGATCTGAAATACGTTAAAGCTGTTCCCTTTCTCGTCTTTTTCTTTGCTTGCATTCTTTAGGAATATAAATAAGTTATTAAAATGTGTTTAACATAAAAATCTATATTTAAAATTGTTATTTAAATTCGTAATTCGTACCTTGTGTGGAACACCGAATCTTAAATGCCTCCTAAATTTTAATGGCAACCAGTAAAATATGGTTTCAAAAAATGGAGAAAATAATGCCGGATCCATGTCGCAGGGTTGTTTTGGCCCTTGATATAATTATTTTAAAAGATTATAATTATATATTTATTGAATTTTTTTAACTATATTTTAATGCTTTTATATCTTTAACTGACGGAAAGAAAGATATTTTTAAGCTTAATTTGAGTAATAGACCTTAGGATATTTGATATTTCCCTTATTAGTAAGCTAGTTCTTTGATTTATTCATAGATTTATCTAATTTATAAGTTGAATTTTACTAATCCGGCAATCTTGAGACCAGACGGGTGACGGAATACAGAATTTCCTAACCAGTATTAAGTAAAAAGAGGAAATTTATTCATTTTTATACCTGTTTATTATCTTTATTATTAACTATTGCAAGATGTAACAGAAGTAAACGCTGTGGTGCGCTGTTGGTGAGCTGTTGGTGCCCCAATTGCAGTGTTGTCTGTTTGAGGATAATTGGCAACACTCACTAGACATGTGAGGTTACCTTGGAGATACCCACTAGGCACATGAGGATGCTTACAAGATACCCACTAGACACATGATGATGCTTACGAGATACCCACTTGGCACATGAGGGTGCTTACAAGATACCCACTAGGCACATGGGTATGCTTACAAGATACCCACTAGGCACATGAGAATGCTTACAAGGAAACCTACTAGACACGTGAGCTCATGCCTAGTGTGGCCTCGTGTTTCAGGACCCGAAATTTGTAAATATAAAGCAATTTTCCGATGCTGTTCAATGTCGTAACTTATAAACAATTATATAACTACAATCATACACTATTAGCTTATGTTAAAAATTTATATACAGGTGGCCCGGAAGGGCTTAATACACCATTGATAGCTGCCATTATTGTTTTGTTTGTATACGAGAAAAGTGGGCGATCTGCCTAGTGGCGATGCCTCCCGGAAGGAATTTATATGGGAAACTGGCCCCTGTTTAGGTGTTACAAACGTGGCCTGCCTGTTGGCGAGGCGCGAACCCGTGACCAAGTACCTGTGTTCAATGGTTTTATTGAACCATTTGTGGGCTGAAAAGTACTGAATAACCGAAGGTACCGGATTAGTAAGTCTCAAGTTTTATATAATACAACGACTGTATTAATTAACTAAGTCGAATTAAAGTCCCTCCTTTTATACGTGTTTTGTTACGTCATTTATTATCAAACCTTAATGAAAATATCGTTTCTTTTAACTGAAATTTTACAAAATTATTGTACAATTTACCTGTTAAAAAGCTGACAAGTAGGCCAACTACTACGACAGTTGTACAACCGATGGCACTGTACCATATGTACGATATTCTGTACAGGTCCTGTATACCACCCTCACTAAAAAACCGAATAAAAACTGTTACTTAATTGTAATTTATTAAATAATTTAATAATTATAACTAATAATTTAATATTTTACTATTGAATTGGCATTGGTGTTGTAGTATACTCTGTACTCGTTGATACTGTTGTCATCAAAGTCGTCGTTATATTGGATATAATACTAGTTCTGTTGCTGCAACCTGTTAATGATATCGGAAGCTTGGGAATGTAGGGCTTATGTATAAAATATCCAAATCCTATCCAGAATGGCAAAATTAATCCAGTTATAAAGCCACTAATAGCACCCTAATTAAAATAAATCAGGACGTAAACTATATTTTACTTTCATGTGTGTGACATACAGTGGATGTAAAGTAACTAGGCCTCGAAAAATCAATATAATTTCTAAACTTATAAAGCAGAAAGTAAGTAAGATTAGCTATCTTTTACTATATTAAACGGAAATAAGTATCCATACTTAAAATTTAATGTACACATTGGATTCATCCATCATTGACGCATTTTCTTCAGATCGTGAAGTGAATGGACTGCCACTTCTTTGTGTATCGTCAACCGAGTCTGTGACTGTTTTAGCTTTGAATGCAATTCTTGATTGTTTCCGTGCGGATTGTGGAATGACTAGTCTTTTCTGCACGCTACAGTTTCTGCACATCAACCACTGTTTCCTACATAGAATGCAGCTCAACCTGTATTCGCTGTCGGTCATCTTTATTTTCACTGTGTGTGTGCTGCCTCTACGATCACTGCTTGATCACTTGACACCACCAGTGCAAAAGTTTTCATTATAAAATTGATTTAATGCACGTTCAGACATAAATTTTATTATGATTACATTATTATTTTAAACGTTATAATGATTTCTTAATGCCTAGTAACTTTGCATCCACTCTCTACGTACGATATTATTATACTTACGGTAACATTAGGCCATGGAAAAAACATGCCAAGAGTAAAAAGGCCTAAAACTGGTCCACCAACCATTCCAAATATGCTTAAAGCAGCCTGTAATTAGGACAAAAAACTCGTTACTGTATTTCTTTTTATATAAATATAATTATATTTCTTGCTTACAGGTAAAACATCTCCCAATTGTTCCGCAACAAGTACGAGAAGAATGGCTAAAATTCCGTATACCACAGCTAAAATTTAAAGAAAAATTTTTTTTTAAATTACATATTAATATAATTAAACAGTAAAGTATTTAATTTACTAAATAAAATTAAAGTATTAAAGTTTTACATGCTGTAAAACACTAAAATTTAACTACAAAGTGATGAATCCTTATCAGTAAAAGGTCAGTAAACTGTGAAGATCGCATCAGATTTGTTGAGTAACGCTGGTCTTAGACTTGTGGCCTTAAGCTATAATACATAACATGCCGAATACTTATACCTGTAAAAAACGTGAGGCCCTAAGCTATAGACTTATAAGCTATAGACTCTTAATTAAACTTCATATAAGTTCGGGTAATATTAAGATAGTGGGTCCATATCTTCCGAACCAATCGTTTGATTTTCCTGAAAATTTCCAGAAACATTTCCCCCTTAAACATATAATTCCTTACAAAATTTCAGAAATTTTCGACAAAAACAACAGGAGTTATTCAACTTGAAATTCATGTAAAAATCGTGCCTCACCACACACACAAACATACGTATAGAAAAATTCCCCAATGTTTTTTCTGTTATATAACAGCCTGAAAAAAATTACTGATTAAAATTCGTTACTCATCATATATTTGTCTACAATTACGGGTGAAATTTAAACAAGTCTTCAAGGATTTCGTGTTACTAAACACGTAATCGAGGGAAATTTTATAATTTAAAATAGCCATAATTTAAATTGATATATATATTATATATAATTCAAAATTAATTTTCTTTTTATATAAAATAAGGTACCAAAAATTTTGGTGCATCTTGCAGCCCATACTTCAGAAATATTAGGTTTTATATAAGCTTTGACGATGTCTTCAAGTGTAACAGCTGATAAAGAATTGACTCCCGATGATACTGTACTAATGAATATAATTTTAAAATAATTCATTTCTATATCAATAATTATAAGCTTTAATTTTAATTTAATTTAATTTAAAACTAACCTAAGGGCACCACTAAATATTCCAGCAACAAATAAACCTGGTATCCCTGATATCTCTCCCAATACGTCCATCACAAACAGAGGAAACAACTGTAAATTTATATAGAAAATTAATTATATAATATAAAAAAAATTAAATGTATTTAATCAGAATTTAATAGAATTAAAGTATTGTAACCTTTTTAAATTACTTTTCTCGTTAAAATTTCATTATAAATGGGAAATATATTCAATTTCGCAATGGCGTGCAATTGGCTGTGATATGTTAATTTCAATTTCTTAGTAAGTAAGTATGCAACCAGCTAAAATTTATTTAAATTTTTAAATTATATAATCACATTTTTCCATAATTCAATTAAGTAGGGGGTGTACCATAAGTTTAGAACCGTGCGAGTTACATTGTTTATGGTGTTATAGGTAAAGTCACGTATACCTGTCTGGTATGATAAAACAACTGGTATCTCTGTCCTCCGTATGTTCATATGTTAAGTTATTTTGATAGTGTGGACCCCAGCCAATAGAGCTTAACAGGGTGCATCCAGACACCTACGTGTACTCGTTAAAAAGTCTGGATGCACCCTGTTAAACTCTGACGTCTCCACACAATTCGACGTTCCGAAAGTTATAGTCAAGTTTAATAATTAATTTTTAAAATATATTAAGATTTTACCACAAAAAAATCATCATTAAGTATGCTAATTTACCCCTTTTTCATTATACTTCTATTGAAAACACCGTTAAATTTTATGAGGATAGTACTTAAATAAACATAAAAATATAACAATTATAACATACCTGATCTGAAGTATTTACTTGTTTACTTTTAATGGGATCACAGTCTTTGTATTTTACATAAATTGCTAATCCAACTACACAAGTTAATGACAGTAGTAAACTCAGACCGGGAAAATTGATCAGGATGACACTAAAATATAATTATTATTATGAGGTTAGGAAGGTAAAGACTTAGTGTGTAAGTAAATTATACCTTACCTCTGTGCCTTGCTTAATGTGGGTATGGATAAGTATCTCTGCACCATAGACTGATTAACAGCGTATATGGCTAACCACGTGAAATAACCACCAATGGCCAGACCCCATACTGTATGTCTGGTTAAGGGGCTCGTATCAAAACTAAAATATACAGAATTTTATTGTATAAATTATAATTAAACACACGTAAATTTTCTGCACTTACTTCCAAAATTCTATCCTCCCTCCTTCGTCGCTGATCTTCCAAACCTTTTCGATCCCACCTTCATCCGACACCCCCTTAATTGCCACAGCAAACATGGCAGCGAACATTATTAAAACTTGGAATAAATCGGTCCAGATGACAGCTTTTATACCACCCTAATGTTATAGAAATTCAGTTATATGCATGCTTTTATAATTTGTACACGTGTACATTTATTACTACTCACAATTGTCGTGTAGAAGGTGCAAACAAATCCTATTGATAGAACAGACGTCCAGACGGCTATTCCTGTTACTAAATATTGAATTTTTGTTAGTAAAACGCTTCTAACGGGGGTGTTAATGGGTGTTATTAGAGTAGATTTACCTTGAGATAGAGCTAGGGAAGGCGCGTACAGCACAATAGCCATGTAAATTAACTGAAATTATACAGTATACAGGTGAGTACAGTGTTATAAATTGTTTAACATTAAGTATACATGATAAATTCATACCATTTGTACGGAAAATGCAATCGATGCTAACGTTCTCACTGTTTTACTGAACCTTTTTTCTAAATACTATAAAAAAATATGTTATAATTCATGTAATTTATCTATAATAATATAAATAAAGAAATAATCTACTTTAAAACTGATGAAACCTTCTTAAGAAGACCATATTTTTTTTGTTTATAATCGTTGAATAATGAACATTCTACCCAATTTAAACGTATAATTCTTTATATAATATATATACACTCCAACCTCTAATAACGGCCACCCGCTAACAGAATTCACCTGTGAACAGAGGCCACATTTTAAGGCATTCTTTCTATGTGTGTTGTGTGCATGAACAATAAACGGAACATCTTTTGTGTTCTAATCACTGTCCGTTCTTTACAGGTTTAACCGTATTGGCTTTCTATACAATTTGATTTATTCCACAACAAATAAATAATTATACAGGCGTGAAAAACTGTGCTGTGTCCTGAACTTCCTTAATCTTATTATTTAATATTCTACACCACTTATGGAAAGTAGTGATGCACAGTCAGTATCATAATGCATAAAAATAACATTATATTATATATTTTTTTGTGTGTCAGGAATTTATATTGTTGTTACAGAATAAAATTTTATATTATTTTTTGATCTGTATTCTATTAAATTTTATTCTGTGTAAGTATCAACCCTCTCTTGAATAGGTTCTGATGATAATGTTACCTGAATACAATCAAATATATAAATTGCTGGAACCGATTCTACCTGTACCCATTGTCTAACAGGATATGATGTAATTAATTACAGGTTCGAATATAATAATAATAATAATAATAAAAAGACATTATTTACTTCTATGGATAATTTTCTATGGTAAGACGATGTTTAACAGTAAGCAGTTTCGATGTATATAATACAAAAATTGTATGATGTACAACGAATTATTAAATTATTTACTGCTGTATTATATTATAAATATCATTTACTAATTATTTTGAAATTATTATCTGTAGTGTATTGTTTAATTTGTCCTACTAACAGTGGGTTATTGGGTCATAACTTTTCAATACAATACTATAATAAGGTTAGCATTTATATAAACGTACGCAGAGTTAAATTATAGTTATAATGTTAATAAAATTATATAATATCTATCGAATTTTATATGTTTTTTCCCCCATTTTTTTTTCAAATATCTTCGTGTTGTGTGCGAAAATTAATTGTTTTCTTGGTATGGATTTTCTATGTAGTTCGACCTTCGACGATCTTACAACTCATTTAAATGGCGAAAATTAATATTAATATTATTAAATATTTAATGTTTTATGTAAAAAATGGAAAAAATAATGTTTTAAATAATAAAATTAATTATTTATTCGAATTTTTTTCCAAAAATCGTCGTATAACGCGCACTATTTAATTGCTTTAATTCTAAATTATATACGAGTATTTCTTAAGGAATTTAATTTAATTCTATTCTATTTTTATACTTAATAAAGATTTAACGACTTATTATATTAATTTATACGTTAAAAATGCTAATCATGGTATAACAATACACGTTTAGTAATATAAATATTAGATTATACAGATGTAGAAAAATAATATAAAATTTAAATGAAATTATATAAAATAATCTTACCTCATAAACACTAGTCAAATCTAACTTATAAAAAATCGGTAAATAAAAATACGAGGCAGATGGTATCAATAGGGCATACGATATTATAATCATGAAATACTGTGTGCCATAAGTATACATTTCTGCAGGTGTACCAAGTAGTGTTATGGCAGACATAAAGCTTGCTAGAACTGACATAGAAACAGGGAAAACTGACATTGATTTTCCACCCATTAGTATATCTTTGGTAGTTTTTTGACCCTTAAAAGCGTAGTAAATTCCAATAATAGCCGAAATAGATAGAGTTGCGGCAAAAACTACGTAATCGTAAACACTGAAACGTTTTGCTAGATTATCAGCATTGTCTTCTACTGTTACTGTATCCATTTTACTTTATCCAAGGTGGATGCGTGAATAGCAATGCAAGATGAAAACGGAAAATTCTCTTTATATGCTCTGATGCAACAGTGACAGGAAAACCGGTTCCGTTTATGAATGAAAGTACAGTACAGTATTTACTACCCCCCTTTTTTTCCACCTTTACATAACGTTAATACTCGTACTTAAATAATAATTATTTTACTTGTATCATTTTGTATTTTTTCCCCCTTATCAAAGAGAGTAGTAATTAAGGTGAAGTAAATAATTCAAGTTTTTCTAGACGTCTGTGTGTCTGTTTCTCAGAAATGGACTTTATTTATTTGTATACAGTACCATGCCCTGGTGTGGATATATAACCCACAACACTTGAACGTAAAAATATTATTTTAGGGCCTACTAAATTTTTATTATGTCAAGGGCCTTTATTTGGTGTTAAATTTGATTTAAAAAAAAGGTATTTTTGTAGGGCATAACGGTTACAAAATTGATCTAATTTAAATGAGACCTTGATGAGCTATGGTTTTCCTCATTAAAGTAGGAAAAATTGAATAAATAAATAAATAAATAGACTTAACACTGTCCCAATTTTTTGATAAATTGATGATCATTCCTACGTAAAATTTACGTATAAAGAAACAAACCTATTAATTCTACGCATACAAAAATCCTGTTAATGACTTTCAAATTTACTCTTCCTCCATATTTATCTGTAAATTTACTTAGTCATGCTATCTTGATAATAATTTACCACGTTTCTTCAACTATATATTTCATTTATTTACTTTTTTTTCTTTAAAATAATCATCTTAAACTGTATAAAAATATAATTTACTTACAAAAACAGCCTTTTTTTTCTATCGAAAACACAGGTTTAAAGGCTAACATCATACACGAGATCACTTTTTAATAATACAATCGCTTCCTTTAGGCAATTGATTGAACGTTTTTAAAAGGGTGGCTCAAAAGTCGGTATACATGTAAATAACATACAACAATAAAATCGGAATGAACAGGGCATTTACTTTATACACTAGTTAACTAAGTTTTGGGCCACCCCATTCTTATTGCTATGGGTTAATTAAAAACTATAAGTTAGACGTAATGGAAGGTAGAGTAAAATAGTGTTTTCTGGGGGGAGAGAAAATTGAAATTCGAGTGTTAATTAAATTCATGGTAGTTAACTCCCGTAAGTTAGAGTCATTGAATTACAATTGTTAAAGCAATTGTTTGTTTTTCGTTGCCTAAATTTATACAGTAATTATCACTGTTTCTATTTCGAGTATCGTGAACAGGATGCAAAATTGAAATTAAAGAAAAAAACAACATGTTATTCCAGATATTTCACGAATACCAAGAAGTGTATCAGGAAAGAAATTATACACGTATTACCTGTTTTTATGTGGAAATTACTTTCGTTTCGATGTGGCTTGAAAGAAACGAATGCCAGACACATCAATCATTTGACACTACATACCTGTTTAGTTATTGGGAAAAAAGAAGTATGTATACTTCTAGATGCATACAAACGCAATTTAAAGTGGTGTGTCTGAGGATGTAAACATGGGAAACTGTAAGAAGTTACTAGAACTTGTGTAATGTATTTAAAATTTTCTCTTTCTTTTCCTCTTTTATGCATAACACAGGGAATGTAATGCATAACAGAAGAAATGTAATGCATAAGAGAGGGAAAGTAATGCATTACAGAGGGATTATAATGTATAACAGATAGAAGGTAATACACAACAGAGAGAAAGTAATGCATAACAGAGGGAAAGTAATGCATTACAGAGGGATAGTAATGTATAACAGAGGGAAAGTAATGCATTACAGAGGGATAGTAATGTATAACAGAGGGATAGTAATGTATAACAGGGGAATAGTAATGCATTACAGAGGGATAGTAATGTATAACAGAAAGAAAGTATGGCAATTTGTCAAAAAATTACCCCCTTAAATTTAAACGCTTATTATAAAAGAAGGGATATTTAAATTTAGTGTTTTACCATATAAACAGTTTTATTTTACATTTAATTTAACAATAATTATTACTTTAAAGCGAATAAAAATGCGAAAATTTCCATTATTAACACGTTTCTAAGCTTTAGAAGTTTCTAAATCCCTATTTTATATAAAGTAATTATCGAACACTAAACTAAAAAAACATACAATTGTATGTGTATACCCACGCACGTAATGTGAAAGACAGACTTAAAAACTGTTAAAAATTAATTGAAAATAAATTAATTAAATATTTTTCCTTTACATTATTATAAAATAAAGATAATAATGTATATAAAAATTATATTTTTGTTTAAATTAAATTAATTTTTTGACAAAATAATCGTGATTTATTCCTGTATTTCATAAGGTTAACGTGCTCCAACTAAGACACTTAGTTGCCACCATTAGTACAGAAAAAATACAGAAAAACGGTAAGAAAATGCACATTAAGGTTGCTTAGATAATAAAAATAAACTCATTTGTATTATTAACATAAGGTAAATATATGAATTTTCCCTGTTACGTTAAGGTCAAGTAAGGTCAATTTACAAATTATCCCTTGTTACGTTACTCAAAGTGAGTTTCAGAATTGTTTTATAACGGGAATTTGCTTAGGATAATGAACTTTATTTTCAATACTAGGCGTTAACATATTACATAATGCACTGTAAAGGATAACCTGGTTTGAATGGAAGGAATGAACAGACATACTTTGTTATCTAGTGGAGAATCCTGTATATTTACTTATCATTAATTAAATATAGAAAAAAAATACAGACAAGTTTTTATAATCGAATTAATAAATGCATAAAAATTGATGTCAATATGAAAATTTATTATTCTCTTTCGTTGTGTAACAGAACTTAAATGGTAGATCGCGTACTACGTGTTGATAATTCACCACTTAAATTATGTCTCGAAAATGCCTTAAATTGTTCAATTAATGCAGATTTTTATTATAAATTATGTATAGAAGTTAAATCTGACTTATAAATTTTGAAATAGAAGTAATAATTTAAAATTCCTTCGTAGAAAATGAACTTTGAATTGTGCATACTAAATCAACCGGAAATGTGCTATACTATTCTAATAACCGATGACTCTGGTAAGTTAAGCCGTTTCATAATATGTTTGACCCCATTGAAATTAATAAATCTGGAAACAATTAAGGATTATTTTATTTTAATCCTATTAAAGTCAATAAAATGATTTAAAATGATCTCGAATCTCTGTAAACATCATTAATCATCATAGGAAACATGACAATGTTGAATGTATCAATTATAGATAAAGGAAAAAGGAAGTAAATAATAAATTTATCATAAAAAATGATTAGAAATTATCCTCAGGTTTAGACAATTACGTATAATAAGAGACGTCATCATATATAACCATTTAATTTATTTTTATTTTTTGAATCATCTTTCCTTGAATTTACCTTTATACAAAAACATAGCGTAAAGGGTTTATCCGTCTTTTAATAATGGGTATTTTGCAATCTTTGTTTCTGTACTGGAAAGTGGAAAATGCAATTTCATTTTTAATATAAATTAGGAATTTATTAGTAAGATAAGTAAATGAATTAAGTTATATTGAGGAAACTATCCTCTTAGTGCTTTCTCTTGTCCACTTTGTTCTCTCCCTTTCTCATTTTCACCTTTTCTCGACACCTTTCTCTTTCCCCTATTTCTAGGGTAAGAGAAAAGGCCTCTTCCTTCATTTCTTCCTCATCTTGGTTTCTATCTGCTGTCCTTCTTCCTCTTTTTCTAGGCTTTTATCTCTTCCTCCTCTTGTCCTCTTTCTTCTCTCTCTCTTCCTCTTTTTCTTGGCTTTTATCTCTTCCTTCCCTTGTTCTCTTTCTCCTCTCTCTTTTTTTCTTCGCCTTTATCTCTTCCTCCTCTTGTCCTATTTCACCTCTTCCACTTCCTCTTTTTCTTGGCCTTCATCTCTTTCTCCTCTTGTTCTCCTTCTCCTTTCTCTCTTCCTCTTTTTCTTTGCCTTTTTCACTTTCTCCTCTTTCTACGAGGAAGAGAAAATGGCCAAGAAAAGGCTTCTTTTGGCCTCTTTTTTCTCATTCTATTTCTCTTTTTTCCCATCTCAACTGTTTCTTGGTCCTCTCATTTCTTCCTCTTTATCTTTCTCATTTCCTGCACCTCTTCGTCCTTCTCTCTCTTTCTCACTCTCCCTTTAGAAAGACTTTCTTTAGTAGACTCCAAAATACTAATATTAAGGATAAATTGTATGGACAGACAACACGTAAAACGAATAAATAAACTGTTTTATGGGGTTTATTATCGATATTAAATTATTTTAAATCGAAAATTGCATTGTAAGATAATCAATGGAATACTCAATGATTAACGAGGTAATTATTATTGGAACTATACGAGGGTGGCGCTATATAGGAATAGCGTTATATCGAGGTATGACTGTGTTCTATCAAATACAGTATACATAATTAATTTTCGTATAATGATAATGGCCAGATTGTTTGAAATTTATTATTGTGGGATTTATTTAAATTAATAAGTCCGTAAAACAGAGGACCAACAGTGGTTTCGTTCACTCGGCAAACCATTGACTATTAGTCGCGGGTTCGCCTCACCTACGGACTAACCACGTGGAGTTTCCTATTGAAAGTTTTCCAAAGAGGCACTTTACCCTGGCAGATGGCTCATAAGTTCAATCCCATAAAATATAATTATTTCTGGACAAGATATAAAAACATTCGCTGATAAATGTGCTTCGGGTGTGGTCCGAACCCACGTCTTTACAGAGTCCCACATGCTCAGCACCGTGAAACCTGGTAATACATAAGAGTATACAATATTTTACATTGTGAATGACTATATATATTTATTGCATGCTGAATGCAACCATTTGTAAACATGCAGTTTCATCTTTATTTTGTTTCAATGTCAATAAATATTTTAAATTAAACTCGCTCTTTTCTCATGGAAATTGTCATCTAATATTTAATTTATCTTCATAAGAATTCATAAATAATCTTCGAGTATGATTCCAG